GTCCTGCCATCCTTTCTTTTTTGTTGTACACTAAAGCGAGGCTGCTTGATAGCAAAATATCAGCAACCCCAGAGCCCAGGCTTCCGCGGCTGTCTCGTGCATGGGTCGTCAAAGGCAGCTGGCTGCTGGCTCTGCCAGTGTAGTACTGTCACAGTGGCTGTTTAGTGAAAGAACAGGATTTTTTTGTTGTTGTTTCCTGTTGGGAAACGTCACCAAGTGGCTTCTGTGTTCTTCACACATGAAATACACACTATCATCCGCATATTTTTCGTTAATTTATGTCCAAATAGGCTTTTCTCTAGCTGCTGGAAAATGATGTTTGGGCTGCAATTACCATCTGCAGCATCTCACAGAAGGGTTTCAGCTCACACAGCGCTCAGGGGAGAGGCAGCTAGGAGCCCCCCGACTGTAAATCTTCCCATTTGTACTTATTCAAATCATATATTGTATTACTAGTGCAAAATACATGTGTCATTCATTTTGGAGGAGCAACTGATGCTTCAAGGAGCGCTTCAGGAACATGCTGTTTAGAAAGGGTTTGAGCTGCAGTCAACGCTGGGTGTCCCGGCTCCTAGCCCTTCCCTCCCTGGCTTGTGCCATCTGCATGACAAACTAGACCACCTCCTGCAAGTTCACCTGCTCCAACAGGCTGCTTCCCCCCTCAAAGTTGCCATTCTCTCTGGGTTGCATCATAATCCTTGGCAGGGTTGTAAATTACAGTGTCACCATCAAGATTGTGGCTTCTGGAGAGAAATAAGCAGCGGGGCCAGATGAACTCTTTTGGAAGAGAGAGAGATTGTTTTCATGCAAATTCCTCGCATCCTGGGGCACCAGGAACAACCTCTTTATTATATAGACTCAGTTGCAATTCAGACACCAGAAGCCGTTTCCACTGGCTGGTAGAATTTCCTGCCGCTCAGCGACGGACACTCTTTTAGGCAGGAACTTCTATTCCTTCTTGGCTGATGGAAGTCTTCTCTGGGGGAGGAAAAAAAATCATTCTGCTGATTGGGTTGAGGAAAATGGGTCAGTGCACTTTCGAAGTGCTTTTAAATCGAGGCATTCATTCTCAAACACCTTCATTTAGCATGCAGGGCGGGAGATGGTGATGGGGAACAGGAGGGGGCGTGTCATACGGATGCCCCCTGAGGGCCAGGCCATCTGTGCCTGAGCCACTCCACTGTGGGCTGCGAATGCCTTGCCCAGGCTGGCCATTCCGTCATGCCAGTCGCTGCTCTGAGGGAGAGCGCCCACCTGCCTGCTCCAGACCGCCCCTCAACATCCCATTCACTTCACTCTCCATTTCCTTTGGACACAGTCATGTGCTTGACCTTGGTGAAGCCAGTCTGCTGCCTTTTTATTTTCCTGTTTCATCACCTTAGATCTGTGGAGGTTTTGTGCAAGCTTGGGAAATACTTGCCCTGCCTACAGCTGCTCATTCTATCACCCACCTTGCCCATGGCCACCAGCCCTGCCCTCTGCATGCCCACAATGCCCACCCAGGGCTTACAAGCCTGGCTGCCCACTGGAGGCCCCTAGAGGAGTTTGGGATTTTTTTTTTAGTATCTTGGGTATTAGGAATGTAAGAGACTGGTGCTCTCCCACTGGTAGGTTTGAACATGTTTCCAATGTGGAGCCATGGTCATAACCCCTGGCTGAGTCCAGAGGATGCCCTGGCATCCCTCTCCACACAGCCATGAACAAAGATCAGCGTCACTATTCAAGAAGATACGTAACATAGTCCATGATTAATGCCCTGTACGTCTCTACCAGTGGCTCTCAACGTGTAAGCATCACCCTGGGAATTTGCTGGAATTGCCAATCCCCAGACCCATCCCCAGACTTTAGCTGCTAGGCTACCATGTTGGGCCCAATGCAGACTGGAATTTGAGAACTTCTGCTATGCACCATGGCATCCAGAGAGCAAGGCAGTGAGATGCCTGCTAATGCCCCGTGAAATGGGTTGAGGCTCAACACTGCCATGGCAGGCCCAGTGCAGTAGCCTAGTGGCTACAGTGCTCATCTTGCATGCGCTGAGCTCCCATTTGGGCCATTGTTCTAATCCCGGAAGCCCCATTTCCCATCCATCTCCCTACTTGTGTCCTGGGAAAACAGTCAAGAATGGCCTAAAGCCTTGGGAGACCTAGAGGAGGCTCCAGGCTCCTGGCATTAGATCAGTGCAGCTCTGGCTGTTGCAGTCACTTGGGCAGTGAATCAACAAACAGAATATTTTCCTCTCTGTTTCACCTCCTCTCTGTATATCTGACTTTCCAATAAAAATAAATCTTTGCAAAGAAAAAATGCCATGGCTACAGCAAGGGGCCAGGCACACAGTGGGTGCCACATGCTTGTATACCGCAAGTTGTAGACTGACTCAGGCTGGGGGACTAAAGGTCCCGACACGGAGATCCTCTACCTGTCCTCACATGGCTTGTCATCACAGTCACCTGCTGGCTGGGATGGGTGAGCCTGAGGATGTTAGGAGGAACCCAGGGTGAGGTGTCTGCCCTAGCTCATCAGCTTCTGCACACACACACGCACCTGAGTCGAGATGTGATGCATGTGAAGCAGAGGCCTTTTGAGCAGGTGAAGAATCTCTGGGCGGTATGACGATTCGACATAAAACTCCATGGGGAAGATCAGTGTGTAAACTAGACAGATGGGGGTCTAAGGCCTTGGACGCTCACACAGTCAGTTAGGTCTGGCCCTGCTGAGGGCCCTGCATGTGGGACAATTCAAAACCCAATAAGTCTACAGCTGCCAATTGTGAAGCTGATAATTCTAAATGCTAGAAATATCCAAATGGTCCCTGACAGAAAAAAGGTTTCCCACCCCATCTCAGAGTCTGAGTTGGGGAGGTGTGTCTACCTCCTGTCCTAGTCTCCGAGTCCTTTGGGTGCCCTGGCAACGTCCCCAGGAGCAAAAGGCAGGTCCGTGCCCTCAGCGCTCCTGGGGGAAGTGAGCCCTCTGGTGCCCTGGGACAGTGAGCCCTCTGGTGCCCTGGAGCAGTGAGCACTGCCCTCGAGCCTGGCGCCCGCCCGGGTAACACATGTCCATTCTGAGGATCCTCCCCTGTTTCTCCAGCACCCAGCAGAGCAGCCGCTCCTCCACACTTCCTCTCAGAGCACCTGAAGGTGGCTCCGAGAAGTGCAGATGCTCACCGTGGTTCCTCCCTGGCAGCAGAATCCCTCTGCCTTATGCACAGCATGGGGCACCGTCCTCTAAATGATCACCAGCATGGGCAAGGCAATGCTAACGGCTCACTGCTTGAAAAGAAGGGAGGTTTGAAATTCCAGCAACGGTGGTATCCTCATGTTCCCTGGATTTGAGCTTTCTTTGTTCCTGCCTTAGAGGTCAGAGTCTCCTTGCTCTTTGGCAAGTAGGAGAGCTAGGCATGACAAGCTGTCACATGTTTGTCCAGGGTGGCCCTTCTCGAAGGCTCGGCCACCTGCTGGGATGGAGGTGGTAGCGTTGACAGGTCAGGCTCCGTGTTCACTGAGGCCCAACTGCACAAGGTGGTGGGAGGGCTCCAGGCTCCTCGCCATGGGCTGGCACTGCCGCTTTGCATGCAAGAGGGAGACGCTCAACAGCTGTCCCCGACAGCCCCTGGGGTCTGCTCCAGACTTGGCAGCAGAGGACACTTGCGCACTCCCAAATCGCCTCTTTGAAATTCAGAAGAGCCACACTTCCATTCCCCCTTCCCCTTCTAGAGGCAAACCCACGTGGAAGATGAGCAGGCCGGACGCGCCTTTACTCTCAGGCAGGCCTGCACTGCCAAGTTTTCTGTCTCTCACTGTCGTGCATACTGACAAGTTCTCACTGACACAGATGATCTGCTGCTTTCCCCCAACACACACACACACACACAGAGTCACATCCGTTAAACTCCCACTCCTCTGACCTTGCTTAACCCAGGCGTGCTGAGACACCAAAGTCCCCTGACTTTGTTTGGGGAGCCCAGGTAATTCAAGGTGTGGCCATGACCCCTCAGCCAACAGAGACATTTGACATTTGGAATGGGGTCTCTGACCTCCAGCATCCCCAGGGGGACATCTCCCATCCTCTTCCCGGCATGAAACCATGTAGCTGAAACCCGTCAGAACTCTCACACTTGGGAGATGCTGAGGACAGCGTCCCAGAGGGCTGTGCACACCAGCCTGCCCTTCAGGCGCTGGTCACGCTGCCAGCATCTGAGTGGAGGACATCCCTGCCAATGGAAGCCTGCCAGTGTCCCTGGGGGAATCAGGGCCATGTTCTTGGCAGCAAGCTGGAAATCTGCCTTTGCTGGGCAGGTCTAGGCCAGGTTGCCTGCCTTCTTCCTAGATCCTGATTGGACAAACCAGGTACAAATATACCACGCAGGCCATCCTCCCACAGTCCCCTGCATGGACATTTTTAAGACAGTTTTTCCTAGTGTCTACCATGTGTCTTTAGAGCTGTGGGTATGCTGGAAGTATGGCCAGCACAAAAATAGCCTCCCTCAGTGCAGGCAGGGCACTGAGGAGGGTGAGATGGGAGCTGTCAGTGCAGCCACTACAGTGAGTAGTCCCGGCACGGGGGAAGCATGGTGGGGCTGGAGTGAGTTGTCCCGGCACAGGGGAAGCATGGTGGGGCTGGAGTGAGTTGTCCCAGCGTGGGGGAAGTATGGTGGGGCTGGTATTTGGCATCACACATTATAAATGAGGGTTGCATTTGCCCTAGAGAGTGCCTTCCTTTAATTCCTGTAAGCAGTGCTCATGCTGGGCCAGCCATACCCTGCTCTCTGCTCACCTGCCTGTACTTCCCTCTAGGAATTCCGACTTCACCTGCCACAGATGGCTGGCAGTGCCCAGCCTCTCTCTCATGCCTTACCTTCACATATGCCTAGCTAACAGATGACCCTCCCAGAGTCATCTGTCCACGAAGTGTACACCATCCTGGCTCTCCCAATCCACCTGATGAGGAGTGCACACCTTATTATCACCTGTTTTCAGTCACAAGCAACTTTCTCTTTCTTCCAGGGAGGGAAGATCCCCGTGAGGTGGACAGCTCCAGAGGCCATTGCCTACCGGAAGTTTACTTCGGCCAGCGACGTCTGGAGCTACGGGATCGTCATGTGGGAAGTTATGTCCTTTGGAGAGAGACCCTACTGGGATATGTCCAATCAAGATGTGAGTGTCCTGGCCAAGGGTTAACTTCCACAAGCATCCAAACAATAGATTCCCCCATCCCCTTCCCCAAATACACACAGTGGCTAGCCAAGTACCCCAGAATCAGGGCCTCCTAATCTGAACTTGAAGTGTTCAGGGCAGGGAATACATGAACCCCCTTGATATAGATCTGCAGTAATGCAAGAACCCAGCATAGTGAGCAAGTCCAAGTCTCAGGGTGCCCTGGGCTGCAACCTCTCCCTTAACTCCCAGAGGTAATGGGCTGATTCTGAGTAGCCATGAGGCCCAAACTGAGCAGGAAAATCCTATTCTCTACCAGCGTCATGTCTCTCTACCAGTGTCATGTGCTCCTCACCATGCGTGGCAGCATGGTTTGAGAGCCAGGGCTTGGGTACCTACCCAGTTCTGCCTTTGGCAGCTTTGTTGGATTGCTTGGGATGTGCAGTTCTCAGCTGTAAATGGAGGAATTGCCAATGCCTTTCTTCCCGGAATGCATGTGATTCCCAGGTCCCCTATTAGTAATAGGAGACCCAGAGCAGCCCCCTCCAAAGCTGTCTGTGTCTGCAGGGGGTCTTCAGCACCCATGCAAGCCTAGTACCCTCAGGGGACAAAGTTGGGAAAGGAAAGAGAAAGGTCATTGGGATGCCTTCGGTGAGGGAGCTTTGGGGTGGGAACCTTTTGCTCTGTGATTCCCAAAGGGTGAGAAGCCTCTTGGAGATGGTAGGCTTTGATGGGTTGCAAACGGAAGTCCTGCCTGGGTTCTAGCAGTGTCTTTGACCTTGTGCCATCCCCAGGGCTCTCTCCATTTTTCTGTAGCAGAAATGATTATCATTTGCCAAGTGCAGACATGTGTTCTCCACTTGGTCTTGCTATCGCCACAGGAGGCAGCGAGTACCTTCCTCAGTCCATAAGATGGGCTGTCCTCAGCCCAGAGCTGGCTCCATCCGGGCCCCAGCTGTACTAGAAGCACTTGTGTGCCTGAGTAGACTCAGAGACTCCAGCCAGCAGGTGACAGTTGAGAAAGGTGATGGTTTCCATTGAGATAGCAGGAGGAAGGGTCAGGGTGCCTCTGATCAAGACTCCTGGGCACACAGCTGCATCCTTACCAAGCAAGATGGCATCGCAGCCTCTCCTATCTGTCCATTCTACACCTCTGCTCCTCTAGTGTGTCAAATCCATGAACTGTGGACTTGATGCTGAGGCCGCAGCCTGGCTCCATCCATGCCGTCTGCTAGCTGAGTAAATAAACACTACCTGAAGAAGGCAGGCCTAATTTGTCCTGCCCAGAGACCTTAATCCGATTAAGAGCAATACTGCACACACAGAATGGATTACAAAATTGACAGGCAAGATTCGACATTCAAGATATTCTTAAGTTGACGCTGAAAACAAATAGAATTTCTGATATTAGACTTTCAAAACGCCCCCATCCTTCATTCCGTACCCAGGCATCGCTTGCTGACTTCTGCTGTGCGCTGCTGCTGTGCCTGTGTTCTGCAGGGGTTCGTGGTCCAGTGCCAGGAACACTTGGGGTGGCAGTGGTGGGGAAGGCTTCCCAGAGTGTGTCATCTGAGCTGCGTCTCAGAGGGAATAAAAACACCTGTAAAGCGGCAGTTCTTTCTGTTTTGGTGTGTGTGTCTGAAATAAAACCTCCAAGCAGTGTCCCAAGTGCATGTAACAGGAAGTGACTCCGTGCCCATTCAGAAAGTGCCAAGGGGGCGGGGGCACCGACAAGAGGGGCTCGCAGCAGCTCAGCTGCAGCCTGGCTCATCAGAAAGCAGCGAAGTGGTGGCGGTAAAGGATTTTGCAGATGACAATTGAAAGGCTTTAAGAAAAAGAATTGCAGAGGCAAGTCGGAGTGCTGGTAATTGGGCTTCCAGAGCCCAGGAAGGTCTTTGAACATGAACAGAGAGTTTGTCAGCCAGAGAGAGCAACTTGGAAGTTGTGCTGCTTGGATCTGATTGACAGAGATAATGAGAGTGGCGGTGTCTGTGGAGAGGAGCTGTGGCTGCACTGAAACATCAGAGCTCAGCTTAACCCCCTGTGCCCTGGTCCCTCCACTGCGCTGAGCTCCTCCACTCGCTTCTCCCCAGTGGAAGGTCGAGTAGACACCACTCGCAGTCCAGTGCACTAATAGGACACATGTGTCTGCGGGCAGCCAGAAGAGTGAAGGGAGGGGCTGCTCTGTCCCCACAGGTGCTCCAGTCACTTTCTCCTGCACCTGAGGCTATCCAGGAGCACCCAGCCACACCAGCCCTACTCTGACTGTCTCTGGGACAGAACAGAGACAGCCCCTACCCACTCCCATCCCTACCCCTGTGGGTCAGCCCCAAGACATTTACCTGCACTGATCTGGCCACTGGGACAACTGGAAGACCTGCTGCAGACCTTGTCATGCAGCTCACAGGTTCCTGGGCTTGTTCTCTCACGCTTCCTACTCTCTGGAAATGGCCGGTCATCTCCTTCTAGCGTCCAATCTATTCAACGTTCATTTAGCACTTCCTGTGATAGACCCCGAATCCCTTCCAGTTTTCAGTGCTGCCCAGTAAGACACCCTGTACTGACAGCATAAGGTGAAGACTTTCCAAGCAGTGCCAGGGTGGCACTGGTGTTTAAAGCCATCATATCAGAGATGCTTCTCTATGATTGCTCCCTGTTCTCTATACCTGCTCTGGAGGCAGATGCAACAGAGAATGATCCCAGGGTCCCATTAGAGGACCAAAAGTATTTTTTTGATATAGTGATGTTTTCATTTGACTTTAAGTTATAGATACTTGGAAAAACTAGAAAATATTAGGGTCCTTAAAAGGAGAATAAATATCTCCAAAGGCAAAGTACCTCAATCAAAGAGGAGCAGATAAACACACCAATTAATGACCTAGACATCTTTTCTTTGATGTGGAAGAGCAAGGACTTGCTTTTTACATGTGTGCCAAAAGCATCTGTGCTTCAAGTAATAGCGACAAAATTGTCTCATAGAAATAGCTAGCAGAGTAAGTCTCGTTTTGTAAACATGAACGTGGGAGGGGGTTCCCATGGCTACAGCAACTCCCCGAAAGGTGAGAAATGGAGATGGGATATTTCCCCCCAAAACATTATGCACCAGCACTCCCACAGTACCCACTGATGGCTGGCTTCCCTCCCGACCAAGACGCTGTCCACTTTAGACATGGCCATGACGACAGCCTCTATGCAATGTAGATTTTTAATCCCAGTCTCCATGGTGCTCAGCTCGCAGCTCTCTGGTTCCTTGAATTGAGGGAACAGTGTCTTCTGTGTGGATTCAGGAAGTCAAGGGACTCTCCTAGCATTCTATAGTTGGAAGGAACTGGAAATAAGGTTGGATCTGAACTTGGGTTTCCAAGGTCAATGCTCTTAATCATCATACTGTGTTTTCACTAACACAGCCATGTGGGTTTGTGCACTTACTTGTCTGACCAGCCTAGGAAAGAGGAGCTCGGCGCTCTTTGATGTCTTCTTCAAAGAATGGAAGGACATCCAATAAATAGAGAGGATGCAAAAATAAGTACCAGGGCCATCTTCCAAAAAATCCCATGGAGTGGCATGCAGGATACACAGCCAGGTGATGCGATGCTGCAGTAGGTCTAGAGCTCCCAGCAAAAGGTCAGCAGGTGCAGTGGGTTCTTGGATGTCCTACTAGGAGAGCTGGGGTCAGCTGTCACACCAAGGCGCTGTGCTCCTGCAGAAGGACCCTGACCCCAGTGCTTTTTGTTGTTCTAGAGCAGGTGAAAGAGTTGAATGTTAATGCTGAAAAGCAGTGTTCAGGGCTCTAGCATCCATCAGTGTGGGCAGCTATGTAAATCACCCAGGCGTATGCATGTAACACATAGCTGCTTTGAATTGGAAGACTTTGGGCAGCCCCAACCCCATGAGAAGTTGAGTCTGGACCCAACCTCTTGTGTCTGCACAGTGAGTAGAGGCCAGGAAGGAGCTGGACAGGGTGCAGGCTGATGAGCCAAGCTGCCCATTCTCTGGGAGGTCTCAGCTGACTTCCAGGCGCTCTTTTCCATGCCATGAAGATATCAAGCAACTCCAGGGCTGTTCACCTGGCTGGAATGAGCATGGCAGCCCCAGAGAGGCCAGGGGAGGTGGCTTTCAAGATATTCCAAGCAGCAACTTCAGGCACCCCTATGAACTATCCCAGCCCTGCCTTGGATTAGCTGTGTTCCCTCTGGCAAGTTTCTTCACTGCTCAAGCTTCTGTTTCATGGGGTGGTGGGGGAGGCAAGTGGAATAGGGTTCAAATGCCCTCCTCAGAGAATAGCAGGGAATTTGATTGACAACGATTTAGAGGAGATAAAAAAAATTGTCAGCACAAGACATTGTTCAAAACCAAATCTTCCCAGTCACTGTGTTTTTTTTTTTTCGTTTAGCATAATAATAATACTGGTGTGGTGTGTGTGCTTGTTATTATTATTTTTTTTTACCATCTTGAATGGAAGGAATAATACACCTTGATTTTCCCTAATGACTTTAGGTTGTATTATCTCCTGGTCCATCTCATGTCCTATGTACTGTGCATAGAAATTGTAGAAAATCATCACTTTTTGGCCAATTTACAAAGTGAAAAAAAAATCGGTTGAAATGAATCTGATTATTTTAAAGCAGAAGCAAAACACCAGAAAATCCCCATACTCTAAATTATTCCCTTTGTATTTTAAGTGTTTAATATAAAATCAATGCGTGATCATTACAGACAATCAAAACCACACACGCGCGGAAAGCTCGCCTTGAAGAGCATTCCTGTTTGTGCCATTAACTCCACAGTACATGAGGTCTTTTCTATGCGTGTGTGTAATTGTTGGGTTTTGTTTTGTTTGGAATTTTGTTTTATGCAAAGGCAGGATTATACCATACCTGTAGTTACACAGCCTGATCTTTTTATTTTTTCCCCAAATACCACAAGGTGAGCGTGTTTTCATTTCAATAGACAATTTTGAGCATCACTTTAAGCCCTGTGTTGACGTCCAGGCCTTCCATTGTCTTATGGGCGTCCCATAATAAGTTCATGTTTGGCACTGGACCATTTAAAATAATTTTTTTCTCATGCAAAAAAAAGCACAGATCAAATATAATTAACTCAAATGAATTAGAAATTAAGAAGTAAATTATGGAGCAATACAAAAACCCCCAAATCAGAGTACTTACAGATCCTAAAATCTTTACAGAATTATGTCCTGGAGTGCGAAAAGTAAAATTAGCAAAGCCTGATGGGAAGTTTTGGAATGCCTTGTTGTTCTCACCATTATTGTCAACCTGAGCTAAATGTTCAACCAAATGATTTGCCACCCATGTATAAGTTGAGGAAATAATACACAGGAGGTGTCCAGATTCCCCTGACCGGGGTGCCTGAGTGATCCCCACTCTCCTCTTCTCTTGGGAATGTAAGACTGAAGCTGCCATATTGGAGATGACCCTTATACGTAGTAGATTCACCATAGGCTTGCATCGCTGCTGGAATTACAGGCTGAATTGAGTCCTTAGCTGTTTTCAAGATGGAGGTTCAAGTCACTCACCAGCTCCCTGTTCAATAAGTATGTACCAGGGTTTAGGGTGTGCCACGCCCTTTGCCCACAGCAGGAGCTCCAAAGCGGGCAGTAAGATATGTCATCTGCTTTCTGTCTGTGATCTATGGGGAAAGCCAAGTACACAACTCCCCTACCCACCAGAGGAACCCAAGGGAGTGCACTGTGAGTGACTGGCTTTTGACTCATTGCCCGCCACCACCTGTCCTCTTGTGTATCATTGTAGGTGATAAATGCCATTGAGCAGGACTACCGGCTGCCTCCTCCCATGGACTGCCCCGCATCGCTACACCAGCTCATGCTGGACTGCTGGCAGAAGGACCGGAACAGTCGGCCCCGCTTTGCAGAGATTGTTAATACCCTAGACAAGATGATCCGGAACCCGGCAAGCCTCAAGACTCTGGCAACCATCACCGCCGTGTGAGTCCAACAAAAGGGGACGAGTGCTGGGAGGTGTTGCTGGTTTGTGGTCAAGGCGTGGCTAGCAGCTTTTTTGTTTTTTGCTAGTAAGACACAGGATAGAGTAATAAAACTCACCCCACACTCTTCCCTAATTAGCCCTCTCTTTAAAATGTTCCTGGCCTCCAACACAGATACCATCTTTAGGCTGTTGTTAAGTCATCCACCTGAGTTTCCACCTCCCTCTGGCTTCCACTAGACTGGACGCTGGGCACTGCAGTAGTTGAGCCCTGTCTAAGCTGATTAATAATTTGCTCTGTTCATAGATAGTGCTTCCATTATCTTAACCACATCAGTACTCTAGGTAGGTGTAGTGGAGCCCTGGAAAACTTATTGGCATGGGGCAAGGCAGTTGGATGGATTATGAAAGAACATGCATTTATCTAATTATCTTCCCAACTGCTGTAGAACAAGTAAGACAGATGTAGGCCCTGCCCTCATGGGATTAATAACCATGCAAGAGGTGCAAAATCCAGCCCTTAATGGCCACTGTGGCATGGAGATGCATAGATACTTAATCTACTAGCAATGAAGCATTCCTGATGAGAGCTGAAGGGCAAGGATGGCGTTAGGAGGAAGAAAAGAAAGATGAGAATGAACGGACAAGGGTTCCAGACTGGGGGTGCAACATGAGCAGAAGTTGGAAGATCGCAAGGCCAGAGCCAGTGTGTTTGTCTGAGGCTATTACAGCTGGGACTGGGTGAAGGCCAGACCAGGTGGAGTCTTGTGGGCAGGGCAAAAAAAAAAAAAAAAAAAAAAAAAAAGCAGGGCTTGCTTTCCAGAACTATGAGCATCCAGTGCAAAGATTATGTCAGGGTCAAAGTGAGGGCCACTGGCAGTTCTAGCCTGTGTTGGAGAAAGAGCATCCAGCTACCGTAGGTCCTTTACAGGAGACCGCTGGGCTAATCAAGATTGGAGGAGAGGAAATCTAGTCACAGAAGTGGCTGTGGGAAGAAATGATGAGTATGGACTACTTGGGAGGTGGAATCTTCGTAACTGGACCGTATGTGGGAGCTGAGGGTGAGAGAGATGTTGTGACAGCACTTTAATTTCTGGGTTGGACACCTGTGTCTACCTTGAGGCTGTGGCAGAAAAGGTTGGTGGTCTACTACCACCACCAGGTTAGATGTTTTTTTTTGTCAAGTAGCTATTTGACCAAAGAGGACAACAGGAACATTGATTTTAAGCAGCAGGCCATGCCTCTGTATGGTGAGGTTCTTAGAGTTCAGATCATAAAGGCACCAGAGGACTTCTCCTTTTGTCCGTTTGCTTGTCTGTGTAGACTGTGACAGTGATCAGAAGCCCAGGGTCTGGCCCCTTGGCTCGAGAAGTCAATGGAGAATTCTGTAAGAGAGGAATGGCTCCCTCTTCATCCTAATCCCAACAAAGATACTGTCTTGAATGAAACCGACAGGTCAGCCCAAGATATGGCTCTGCCCACCAAGGTTACCTGCTCCTCCCATCTGTTTCTGCAGGCCTTCCCAGCCCCTGCTCGACCGCTCCATCCCAGACTTCACGGCCTTTACCACCGTGGATGACTGGCTCACTGCCATCAAAATGGTCCAATACAGGGACAGCTTCCTCACTGCCGGCTTCACTTCCCTCCAACTGGTCACCCAGATGACATCAGAGTAAGTGATGGGTGTGGTTTCTTCCCTGCCTCTGCAGATAATGAGCCCCCCCCCCCATCATTTCTAGAGCTCCTCCTCTCTATGGAACCACCCCTCAAGTAGGGAAGACCTGGAAAAGATGGACAAGTGGGAGATGGGAAGTGGTAGCAGGCAGAGATGCGTCCTGCGTCCAAATGAGAGCTCTTCAAAGTCATGGCCATATGTTACTTGCCTGATAGTGAGGCTCTTCCTCATTTCATTTTTTTCAAAATGAGTTCATCAGAGGACCCCTCCAGACAGGACACACACAGCCAGCTGGCCAGCACCTCTGCCCAGAGCAGGGAAGCAGTGCCCTGGCTCAGCAGCAGCAGCAGCCAGTTGTGTGGGATGCTTGTCCTCATGCTTGTAAATAAGCACACATTCTCTCCCTCCCCGCAGAATTATTTACCAGCCTGCTGCTCCTGCAGGAGTCTGAAGGAATACACAGAATAAAATTATGCAAATAAGATGAGAGCCAGGAAGGGTCTTAAAGTGCCACACCATCCCAATGATTTCCCCAAAAATGCTCTCCCCAGCACCAGTGGTGGGAAATGTTAACGGGATCGCCTTGGGAATAAAAGGTACCCTGATCAAGTACATTTGGGAAATACTGTGCCCTTTACCACCTTCTTGGAGATTCACTGCTCATGTTAGCATTATAAAGGCCAGGAGAAATTCTGGAATAAAGAAACCCATTTAAAATTAGTAAATACCATGGAGCCATATTTTTTGAGGGGCATGGTTTTTATGGAACTGTCGTTTGGGAAATATTTACCTAGTTCTCCACCTTCTGCCCAGCAGATTCTGAGACGATGAGGCATCGGGGCTCCTTGGCAGCAGAGCTGCGGCTCCATGAGCTTTTCTGACCGTCAGCTCAATGTTCTGTTACCCGTTCAGTGCTTCCCATTTTTTCCACACACTTGGAATCCCCTGGGAATGTGTATAAACTTCTGGTGCTGGGTTCCCACTCCCAGCCTTTTTGACGAATGGGTTTGCTGTGAGTCCTAAGCAAGCTCCCCTGATTCTAACGTGCATCAAAGTGTGGAACCACTGGAGTCAAGTGGACAAGAGTAAGGTTTCATCTTCTGCACTCATATAAACTCAGAAAAAATCAGTGCCATGGACCCAGTACACACACACACGCACACACGCACATAACCAGCCCAGGGCCCTGTAGTGTGCACGCACACACACACACACACACACCTCTCCCCCTAAAGTTACTCCCTGGGTCTGGGAATAATCTCAGATGATAGAACAAGGAAACAAAAGAAAAGTCAAACTGAAAATTAAGGGATTTACTTCAAAGTAAAACATGTCTGCATGCTATTGAGCAATTCAGTTTATTTCTTGAGAGAAAAAAGATGGGAAAAAATGAATATGAGCAAGTCAATAAAAATGGATTGTGGGACAATTTGTGAATTCAATATTCAACATGTGCTGAAAAGACATGGGCAATTGGACAATCTCAACTAGATACATTGCCCTTAAGGAGTTGACTACCAGCTGTCGGTGATGGTAGGACAAGAAAGTGGATAGGAAGCCAGCCCAAGCTGTAGGGGACCGTTGGATCAGGTAGGCCATGTATTAAGTGATGGGTGGAGCTGGGGTCAGAGGGCTTTAGGGTAAATTTATCCAGCACCTTAGAAGAGTTGAAAGCTGCCTTGTAGAGACACTGATAGCCAGATAGTCTTATACTTGAGCCCTGAGTCCACCACTGCGTACTCACTGTGAGATCTTAAGCACATTACTAAAGTTCTCTGAGCCGTGCTTGACTTGTCTGCGAATTTGCAGGCAATGGCAGTGCCCCTCTCCCTGGTTGGTCATGGAGGTAAATGGGAGAGGACACACAGAACATTTGGTCCATTTCCTGCCTGCAGGTTGCACAGCAAGAAATGGTTGCTTGCCAAATTTTTCTGATCATTGACTTTGTAGTAGTTTGTCCATTTTTATGAAATGCTTCCTGTAGTTTGGATGAGATGGTATATGGCACTTCAGAGACGCTCAGGTGGTTCCTGTATGTTATGAACTAAAGAAACATGCAAGCATCTCCCCAAGGTCAGGTGTAATCTGTGAAACTTGTTCATGTTAATACAACTCAAAGAGAAATCCAAACGAGCCCCAATCCCAGGCTTACTCCTCAGATTCTTGCTTGGGCAGATACTTTAAAGTTATTTTGAGATCACCCTTCTTAAAAAATGCATGACATTAAAATTCAAACAGAAGCAGAAAATGGCAACTCAGGGGAAAACATCAGAAGGCCAGGCAAGCCCCATATCTGTTCAGTCTCAGTGGGGGATCACTAATTTAGGCAGAGTACCACAGAGCGAAACTCCAAGGACTCCCTGCACTCCAAGTGTTAGAAGAAGCCACACAGCAAACTTCCAGTCCATGGCAGGTCATGGCCAAAGTGAAAAGGCTTTTCTCCAGAACCTGCAGACAGAGCACACACATCCAGAAGCAGGCACAGGGCCTCCAGGATCATCTGAGCTGGAGGAGACTTTAGACACGAGAGCCATGGCACAGGGGGGTATGTGAAATGGAACAAGGGAATATCTAACTGGGAGTTGGCCAAAAGCTTGGGAGGACCCAAGGCAGCTGGTCTTGAACCCTTTGGACAATGTCAGCAGGACCATGCCTTTGGCAATGAGTTTGAACCTTGGGAAAGCTTCCCTGACACTAACATGACTTCTTCTGTGCCTTTGTCCATCCTAGAGACCTTCTGAGAATAGGGGTCACCCTGGCAGGCCACCAGAAGAAGATCCTGAACAGCATTCATTCTATGAGGGTCCAGATGAGCCAATCACCCACAGCAATGGCGTGAGAACTCCTGTTTTTCTTGGGGAGGCAAGGAAGGAAACGGACAAAAGGGTCAAGGGGGCAGTAGAGGTCTGACACCACGGAATGTGCTGGAAGGTCCAGGCTTCGCAGCGGAGGAGCACATGTCCATCGGTGAAGGCGAAAGCGGGTGGACCTGCGGCTGAGAGGCAAGCTTGGTTCCTCAGTGACGGAAGCATGTGTGAGACGCTGTGGGAAACCAAATGTATCCTGGTAGAACTCCGAAGAGGTGACATTCAGCGGATGTGAAGACAAAATAATATGCATCAGGGTGGGGTGGGGAAGGGGCAAGCACTGAGCCCCCACCCCTGGGGGCTTGGCAGCATCCCTGTCGGCAGGAAGAAGGGAAGGAGGTGGAGGGAGGAAATCCAAACCGTGGCCCATTTTCTTCCCCGCCAATGACATTCTTTTCTTTTCTCCTTCCGCTCTCCTCCCCCGGAGCCCGTCCCTCTGCCCTGTCCTCTCTCCCTTTGCCCATCACGCCGGAAGCATCTCCAAAGCTGAACCCAGCTCCCGAGTCTCCACATGTCGTTCTGCCAGTTGCCAGAGGACGTTGCTGACCATTGCATGGGGATCAAACCAATTCAATTAATGTCTTCATATTGAAGAAGAGATGTACCTTCAATTGAAAACCTTGTTTTTCTTTTGTTTGCATTTTCTGCAAAAAGGAAAAAAAAACACACATTGGAAAACAAAAACAGAACAGAAAAACCCGTTTCTGTGTGCGAGAGCACGCTGTGTGTGTCTGTGTTTTACAATGACTGTGCTTGTGCCGTAACAGATGCAAACAAGAAAGAAGAGCGGGGACGTCTTTGCCCTGGCGATCCAAAGGGGCCAGAGTGTGCTGGTGGTTGGCCAGGGTGGCCCCTCGGCTCCTTGGGACGAAAGGAGAGGGGCAACTTAAGAATTTGCAAATTCAGAGAAGAAACGGGAGCGGTTTGAACTGGGTGCAGTGCGGGCCGTTGTGGAATGATTCTGACTGATTCCTTACTCTTGATGTCATCAGAAGACGGGAGCGGGAAAGCGTTTCTGGAGAACGTTCTTGCACATCCCTGGGGTCTGCCATCCAGTGGGGGAGGGGAGAGTCCTTCTTGCCTTACCTTGTGGACTGGCGTAAGCCGCGTGGCATTCGAGGAATGTTTCAGACCTGTCTGTGTTTCTCTTTACATTCCTTATTGTACCTCATTGTTCAATTCACTTTTGTAAATTCCACCTAACATTTAAATATTTTTGATTTCTCCTTTTACCTTAATCTCCTTGCTAATTTTATCTGTCTAATTAAAATGAGCAGAAGCATGTCTGGTTTACATAGAATGGCGTTAGAGTGTGTGTCGCTGGACTTGGGTAGCTTTCTCCTTTCTGCCCCCGACCACTCTGTGGAGATAGGTCTTCCCTACTCTCCTTCTCTGTCTTTCCCCTAACATGGGAGAGAAGAGAATGTCCCTGAACCCATGGCTGCCAAGAAGAAAAGTAATTCGACTCCCTGACACTGATGTGATGCCAAGGAAAAGCTTGAATAAACAGGAGGCGTCAGAAATCGTGCAGTTGCCAACAAGGCACGCTCAGCCCCTGTGAGTTTACATGCTGCGTTTGAGATGCTCACCCCCAACCCAGTTGTGTATAAGGCACTGCAGCCGTTCATACTGCTTGCCTGTGCTGTGTCTGTGAACGTGAAGTTGGAGGTGAGAAGGATCTTAGCCAAAAGGCCGAGAAGCGATGAAAAGCCATGGTTCTCAAGCAACTTCCCTAACAGCTATTTTACGCAGCAGCATCCCTTCTCCCTGGTTCCGGGTAACCTTGGCCTGAAGTCACTAGCCAACTTCTGATAGCAGGAAGCCTGTTCTTTGGGTGCAGTTCCAACTCTATAGAGCTCACCTTCAAGCTCCCCCTTGGACATGACCCTGTAGCGCCAGAGATGGACACGCTCCTCAGCAGATTCATGTGAGTTTGTGAAGAGCCCAGTCCAGGCAGGCGGGTGGAAGACAAAGATCGTCTTAATTGCTTACCAATTCCACGCACAATTTACTAATTACTCTGAAGACCTCAGTTCATGAAGTGTCTTACAAGCCTAGGCAATTCGCTTAATCTACTCTCAATTTTCCACAGGAATGAATTTGAATCAGTCACCACGTTCCTCAGGCCGCATCCTGTGAGCCACACCCTCACTGTATCCCCCTTGAGGTCAATCCACCTTCTGGTCATGGAATGAGCAGGGTCAAGATGAAAGTCATGTCAAGCCCTTTGATTTGGTGTTATCATAGAAGCTCAGGAAAGCATGAGGCATTCAGAGCCAAGGCCAGGGTTCTCAAGGTACAGACCTCAGCTACCCTGCACAGCATGGGATCCCGAGCTAGCCCAAAGGCACAGTGGGAATGAGCTGGAGAGCAGGGATGCTTGAAGGGGAGCCGCAGGTAGCAAGATCTCACACCTCACCTCGAGCAGTGGGCCCGGCCCCCGTGAACTTCAGTTCCCTCATCTGCAATCCAGGAAAGGAGAGCAGCCCCAAGTGAAGAGGACCTGACAGCCCCGGGTGGGTTCTCCACGCCAGGCACTTTTCTGCACATTTGTTGTACATGCACTTCCTTTCTCGGCGTTATCTTGGAGAAGAGAGAAGGTACTTCTTTATCCCCTGGTGTTCTGTTTGTTTAAACCAAGAGACAAAGACCCTTCCCAGGTCACTCCAGGGAGCATTTGGGATTTTGATGCTGGCCATATAACTCCCTGTGGTGTACTCTGGCATCCCCAAAAGGAACTACTCCAATGTAGACCCCTCCTTGGGTTTCTGACTCGAGTGCCAGGCCTGGCACTTCTCGTGGGTTCCCAGGGAGTGCTCCTGCTGCGGTTCAGGGGCCACAGCTTGAGAAGCCACCTCCCTGCACCACTTAACTTCCTGAGGCCAAATGGTAAAGCCCCTGCTGCTGCTGGAGATGCCCAAGGGGAGGAGAATGACCCATCTTGGGCACGAAGTGATGGTTGGAGTCCTGTGTGCTTTAGCTGCCGGGGGCATTCCCCACACCAACCAGAGTGCTGCCTGAGAACACTTCCCTCCCCCTTCCATGGAAGCATGCTGCCTCATCACCGGGCAGAGTCCTACCTCTCTCAGGAGCACACTGTTTGAGGCATGCATTCGGCCTAGGGGCTAAGGTGCCTCCATTCCATAATAGGGTGCTTAAGTTCAATACTTGTCTTCACTTTAGGTTCTAGCTTCGTACTAGGGCAGACTCCAGGAAGGACAGCAGTGATGGGTCAAGTACTTGATTTCCTGCCACCTACATGGGAGACCAGGGTTAGGTTACCAGCTTCTGTCTCAGCCCAGCCTCAGCTTTGCCCTGGTTGCTGTTAACATTTGGGGAGTGAACTAGTGCATGAGAGCTCTGTCCCTCTCTATTTATCCTTCTGTTAGCCTGTGCCCTGGGAGGCAGGGCAAAGAGCTTGTACAGTAATGGGAGCCATTTGTGGAGAAGCCCTGGAGGTTAGGTCCCTAGCCCTGTGCCTACCCTCTCTCCCCTCTGACATTCAAACAAGGGATTGGCAGGCATAGGGGCAGAGAGCCAGCACACCTCTAGAACCTTGTGCCTACAGTACCACTCAGCAATATCTGAAGGCCATAGCTGCCAAACAGGCTCAAGTGCTGTTGAAGCACTGAAATAAGTTTGAACTGAGAAAGTTTAGCTTGCCATTATTTCAGTTGCAGAAGTGCATGACCTTAGGCAGCATGCTTTAAAATAAATTAATCCGTAGGTATTTATCTGGGATCTTTCTAGATTACTCTTAACTGCTATCAATCGTGGTCTATTCTAATTTTAGTTCTGTGAAGTTGAAAACACTCCTTTCAACCCTGTCTGATTTGTTACTGTGATGTCACCTTCTTCCCCAGCTCTGCAGCCTGGGGTGAAGCAGCCTCCCACCGAGTGCCAGTCACAGTGTAAAGGTCCCAAGGGACAGAAATTCATCTGATGCCACCCCTGGAAACCCAGAGACAAATCAGAAGGACAGTAGAGGGCTGGGACAGAGCATAGCCCATCCTTCTGAGAGCAGACTCAGGGCTGTTGCTGCCAGCTGCTGACTGGCTGCTGGCCAGACGTATCTCATCAGTACCTTTTACAACTCCCTCTGTGCTGCAGCATTCTTATAAGAGTTGTGCAACTTTTCCACAGCTGCTGCTACCCTGAGAAATGCTCCTATCCAAGCAGTAGAAAACAAGTCAAAATAAAAAAGGACAAAACATAATGATGGGCAAGAAAGCTACTGAGCTACTCAACTGAAACAATTCAGGGTTAAAGGAGAGAAGCTTTCCTTTTGCTCCAAGGAGACTTTAGCCGCTTCCTCCAGGGTTCTTGCTAAAATCCATATTTGCAGGACCCCGAGCAACAATTACAGCTCTGGTGGCAGAATAAGGTGACAGATATATGAGCTCCAAATATACTCCATATAGCAGAGCTCAACTTTGCAAGTCCACCTTGATGTGGAAGCCAGCAGGGCTACAGGAGCTCAGAGAAGGGCATTGTTGTCCCACATGGTTAGGGAAGGCATTCCACAAGAGGGTCTGCTCACTTGGAGCAGAGGAGCAAGAATTATTACACTTGGGGCTGGGTGTTGGGGCACAGAGAAGTCGATGGGATGTGAGTGTGCTGGAGCATGCAGTGCTGGGTGTGGCTAATTGGAGAGGTAAGCCTGGTGAGACCAACAAAGGAATGACCAAGAATCTGGGCATGATTCTGAATCTGAGATACGAAGAAGAGAAAATTCTATGTTACACCAACCACTCTGCCCGCAAAATGACAATGGAATAGTAGGAATTTGACCCACTTCAGGGAGACAAGTTGAGGGGTTAGAACCATAGAGGATGGTGATGGCCTGGGCAAGGGGGGATGAAGAAAGAGGGGTCAGTCCAGAAAGTGTGGGGGAGATCGCATCTGCAGAAAGGGCGTGGTTAAGGGAGGAACAATGATTTAAGCAGCCCTCATCTCTGAGCAACTGGGCAGATTTTGATACCATTTACTGAGAAAGGGAATGTATAAGGAGAAGAATCTGGTGGTGGTCGTGGTCAGGGGTTGAGGAAATATGAATTGCCAATAAGCCATTAGATATAAGGGTCCATTCAGCACAGAGATGGAGCTGATAATGCAGAGCTGAGAGCTGTCCTTATTAAAGTCACAGGAGTAGAAGACGTTATGGTATTTATGCAAATATGAGGAAATGAGCCCGCCATGGAACTCTGAGAAACAGCTTCCTGGTTGTCCAGGTCAAAGAGGCCTCAGAGAGGAGTCTGGGTAAGAGACTTCCGTCACAGAGAAACAGCAAAAGTCAGATGTGTGCAGCAAACATGTCAGTGACGGGACAGTAGCCAGAGACCCCATGCTGACCTCAAGGACTGAGGCGAGGCAGGGGCTGGAAAGAAAGGCATGGGCCACCTGCCTAAGGGCAGCTTCACCCACAAGGCGATGGTGGAAGAAGCAGCCCAGATTGAAGAAATAGAGGACTTCACCGTGTTTCAAGAAGATTGACATTGAAGGGAGGGAAGAAAAATAAGGATGCAGCTGGCAGAGGCTCCTTTTGCTTATTGTTACTTTTTAGTGGGAGAGACTGGAGCACGTTGCCAAGCTAATGAAAAAAGAATCCATAGAGAGAGAGAGAAAGAGGAGGGTAATTGGGAGGGTCAGGTCCCACAGAGGCAGGGAGCGCAGAGGGAGAGGCGGCATGGCTTCAGGTGCACAATTCTAATTCCATTTGGGGAATGAACGAAATGAGGAATGACATGATTCCTGGCAGAACTTGAGCTCACCTTCCAATTCCCCCACAATCGAATCACTTAGTTCCCGTGGCCTCTGTGTCAAAGAGCCGTGATCGAACTCATGGGCCTTGCCGTGGCGATGCTGGAGTGACAAGGCACGCACGCCCATTTCAGATGAAGCCGACACATGCGCAGCCAGCGGACTTCATGGGTAGGGAATGTGTGAGCCTGTCAGGCCCCTCTGCTGTTCAGCATCCCCCCTTGACGGCCTGCCCAACAAGCCAAAGTCTGTATTTGTGATCATGGAAAGGTGGACTGTGCTCAGCATTCCAGCCAAGCTTCCCATCATACTCTGGTGCCCACACTGAACATACGTTCATGGAGGGAAAAGATACAGCCAAGTCCAGAAGACCCAGCCCAGAAAGATGGGGCAATCTTGGAGATCGGAGCCAGGAAGTAGACAATTTCTGGGAATAAAATCAGAGTCCTGATTACATGCTTGGCAAGGTGTGCTCAGGGTGCTGGTAACAGCACAGGGAGGGGCCCCGGCATGTGGCAGTCAGCAGTGGACGCCAAAGGA